AATGAAGTTGGAATGATTATTAAACAATACTTTAGGAGTAGCATTACAGTGAATTTTGAGTGATTTTGAACAATGTGAAGATGAAGAACGAGCGAACAACCTCTCGCTTACAGAGTGTGTTTCCATCAGGACTACTATAATCTTTGAGCTGCGAAGGAAGTCACTTTATAACGTAAGAAATAAAATGCATTGAACAGTGTTCTGATTATGTAGTAAGAGAAAAATTCAACATAGTGCATTGTATGTTTGCCCTTGCATTGCAGTGGAAATTATTGCAAGAACAATTTTGGACAGCGATTTACCTTAAACTACGCCTGTTCTTTAGCTTACCACACTGTCGATCCCTCATAACAGACAGAAACTTGATGAGAGCTTTGAATAGCATAGGGTCATAAGCACGTCCTAGATTCAAAAGCGAAAGTTTTCAGCGTCTGAATCTGTTTACATCTGGTGACTAGAAAATTTATTCATGCAAAAAAATTATTCAAAAAACAAAATCATTCAAGGGAAATATTGCCATGGAAATGCCTAATTCTCATTAACTATAGGATCGCAAAGTACTTTCAAGGAAACTACTGGATCACTTCAAAATACTAACATGAGACGCGCTTTTCATCATTTTTATTCTTTAGCGTTATATTCTAGGATCAGAATGACCACAAAAACCGCTGCAAAAATTGCCAGATAAACAAACGTTTTAAAGGTGACTAAAAATTACAAGTTGGTGGTTAAATTATCCTCGTTGTATTAAAAAAAAAAAACATTTTGACGATATCACAAGTTCTCACAAGGTCTAGCGACAAATCGACAAAATAACAAACCGACTAGCGACAATTTTGATCGAACAAAATTTATTGACTAGGACAAGAACATATTTACTGACTGGCGACATTTTCCTAAAAATAAATATTCTTAGGCAATATTCAAAGACATTAGCTTCTTGAATACAATTTTTGCATTTTTCAAGCAACTGCATTTCAGTTTTTCGCAAAAAAATAAATAATTTTGCTCGGATCAGTGGCTTCTTGAAGTTTTGATTGGCCAGTCTAAAACTTTGAGTGGCATCCAATTGACCAATAATCACTCAAGGATTATAACGTTGACATTTCAGAAGGCATTCTGTTGATATAACGCACCGTAGTAGATGCATTCAAACTTAATGTTTATCAACTCTTTTTAAATAACCGACTACCGACAAATGCCTAGAATTTGAACTGATGACTACCGACAAATGCTTGAAATTGACTGACTGATCATGACAACCGACATTGAGACCCCCATTCAGACGATGATATCGTATTCAAGTTGTATATTGCTATTGTACTATAATAATTTTTTTTTGCTTGACGGGACGCGTTTCTTTTTTGAGGTTGTTTACATTCTTTTGCCATGTGTTTCCTAGTGCTACGCGGTCCATTTAGTATATTCGTATCTTTGGATTTCAAAAACCGCGACCTACTTCACCCCCACCTGCTGCAAGTTAGGGCAATTTAAAATGACAAGGGATCCGTGCACATGGCAGATCTATGCAATGAACGAACTGATAAGACAATGTAAAGGTCCACGTGCACACCGGAAACGATCTCCTAGATCTTCATCTTTGATTTGAACCAATCATGCAGTAAGCAAGCAAACTATAGCAAGAGTTCTTACATGCACGTGACCCCTAAAAACAAAGTAGCAGTACAAATTGCATTACGGTATAAAATGAAAATAAATAAAACCACGAGTTCAAATTTCATTGGTTGAAAAACACAATGTGTCCTTCAATTTAGTCCAATGCATGATTTTATTTTATAGTACGTTTTGTGTCTTGGTGGAGTTAATGACTTAAAAGTTACAAAGAAAAAACATTGTGCATTAAGTGACTGTGCACAATCTAACATGGAAATAACATCAAGAACAATGAGCTTCGCATTTGGTGTTTGCTCAATAATGAGTTCTATATCCTAATCGTAATGCAGCTCGAGAAGCATATTTTCTTCTTTGTTATTGTTGGGAACCCTGTGTAACCGAAAGGAATGTTGGGAGTAAATTGGAGTGCCGACTATCTTGAGTGTTTGTGTAGTTGGTCTTTCAGCGGGTCTTTTATATCTTAAAACGTTACAGTTATCAATAAAGACATATCATTATTACACTATTATTATACTACTCATGTTATTAATGTTCTTGTTCT